CTGACATTCAAGAAACGTCTAAACGCCGTCTTCCCGGACATTCAATTTACGACGGAGAAAGAAGAAAACAACCAGCTAGCCTTCCTGGAATTCCTCGTTTAGCACAAAGACGGTGGTGGCCTAAAAAATAAAGTGTTCAAGAAAGTGGCCAACACTACGCAAGTCCTGAACTCCAATAGCAACCACCGGATCAGTCACAAACGCAGATGTGTAAGAGCGCTATACCGGCGCGTTGATACGCATTGCAGCGAAGTGGGAGATAAAGTTGCCGAATTGCAATATCTTCGACAGGTACTGAGAGCAAATGGTTAACCGCGCAATTTTTTCCACCAGTGCATACACAGGCGAGAGAAAAGACCACCTCCAACTGACCCAAAAGTTGGGCGAGCGCTTCCGTACGTGAAGAATGTATCGGATCGCATCTTCTTCTTTCGAGTGACCTCATTGTTATAATTTAAATAAACAAAGGGGGCTAAAAGTTGTTTTATACTCGGCGAAGTAGGCCAACCGATGTACGTATATATAAGAAATTCACATGCAAATGAAGGGCTTGAAAAATGGCGCTTAAGCTCCAAATGTCTACATAGGAAAGTGGCCTAAGCACGGATGACTTGTGTGGACTAATTTATAACAAGGCACGCTTCTGCTGCGTCTAATGCACGTTCTCCTCCCTTCCTCACCGGGCACCGGTGGCAAGACGATGTCAAGGCATCTGAAGGTGGGCTTGGTCATCGGTGCTGGAGAAGCTGAACACGACCCTCTACGCGGACCACACAAGACCTTGCCCTCGCACCATGTACTCGCTTGTCAGAGAAACTTCCGTTAAAGTTACTACAGGTAAAAAGAGGTGTAATGGAAACCAGTTATCGTAACACTGCCACCTTTCTCTGTTTAGCGCTAAAGCAGCGTGTTTTTTTCTATCGTAAGCTGTGGTTTGTTTGCATCTTATGAATACACTACTCACAAAATCGATTATTGTTCTCCTTGTTTTAGAATCCGCCATCATGCCCGGCTGGTCCATTAATCGACCTCAGTGTGCGGGTTCAAGTCTGCAGCCCATCTGCCTATCCCTTGTTCTCACTTTGGCTGCCCTTTCCTCAGCCTACTGTTTGGCGTGGCCGAGTTAACTGCCTCTTTGTGTACCCTTTTTCTGCATTTGGCCGAACTGCTTATTTTTAAGGTGTATATATCAGTGAGACGGTAGATTTCTATGTGGAAAAACTGCTGTATGAAATAAATCTACGAATGCAGAAAGGTGTGATTGTTAAATCGCTCCAGCCATAAAAGGGGAAAGGGGTATTCATTTTGATACCTTAGTGAACAGAGGACTTCTCGGAGGCAAGATGGTAAATAAGGCTTGACAATTACACAACACCTAACTCCGAAGCGCGGAGACTTTTGAAACATTAGCAGATACCATTTCACACGCTTCAGTACTGACCGGTTTTATTAAGGCAGGGTACGCGAACGACTTTATTTGCAATAACATAGCAAAAAACACACCGATACATACAGGGTATTTGATGAAACAATTAGATAAATAATGCTACTGGATAATGGGTAGCGGTATGTGTTGTAGTGGAAACAAGAATTTAACGGGATGCGACAGAAATAAGCCACGTAGTACGGCTGAGCTGATCAAAGCTGTTAGGTTAACTCAAACATTTTGTGCTGTTTTACAAGTAGAAATCTTCGGAGAGAACCGCATAGATCCCAATCGCGGAGAAGTAAACGCAAACTTACTTGCAGTAGC